AAAAAAGAATACCCATATAGACCTGAATTTGGTATTAAAATATAAGTAATTGGGCTGGGAAGGTGGCTCAGTGGTAGAGCGCATGCCTTGCATGCCAGAGGCCCTGGGTTCGATTCCTCAGCACCACATAAGCAAAAAGAAAAAAGCCAGAAGTGGCGCTGTGGCTCAAGTGGTAGAGGGCTAGCCTTGAGCTGAAGAGCTGAGGGACAGTGCCCAGGCCCAGAGTTCAGGCCCCATGACCGGACCCAAAAAAAATATAAGTGATTAGGTAATAAATAATAATTAATTGCACTGTCTATCCAAAAATGTCACTGAAGTAAAAAATGCAAGTCCTCTTAACAGGAAAAAAAAAGTTGTTACACTCATTGTGGTCTTCACATCAAAATCATTCCAGGAATATCAAATCAATAAGTAAAGCTATGTGATTTTTTGTTTCCTTTGTATGATCTTCCCCCTATGGTCTATCCCCTGTTGTCATTGTATTTGATTTTGGTACCCTACATCTTGTACATACATTTATCTAATTTGGAGAGGGAAAGGGGAATAACAAAATGTTGAAACAAGGACACAGGATGACCTATTGCAACAATGATAGTCACAAGACACTACGTTAGAAAAGAACGTTAGAACTTGGGGATAGGGAGGAGTGGAGGAGATGTGGGAGGGAAGGGATAGTAGGAGAAAAATCAAAGGGGGGGTAATAATGTTCTACAAGAAATGTACTCATTATACCTTACTCATGTAATTGTAATCCCTCTGTACAGCATCTTTACAGTAAAATAATTTTAAATGACTGTAGCTATTTAAAGAGATTATAGAAATATCTTAACATATAAAATCAACTTATTGTACAAAAAAAGTTATTTTGGGGTGGTACGATCTTTGTAATCCAAAGTGGAAAATTCCAGTGTGAAAAAAAAAAACTAAATGGACTAAATTAAAATTAACCCTAGCAAGGAAAAACAAAAAAATATATACAGAATAAAAAGACATAAAACATGATTTCTTATTTAAAAGACAGTGCTAACAACTACGGAGAAAAAGATTCCTATTGCCTAAATGCCATAAGAAATTGATAAAATAAATAATGGTATATCAATTCAATGTAAAAAGAATGATGACACAAATTGATAAGAATGAGTCCCCAAATACAATAAATAGAAAATGAAAGCATAGAATGCTAGTTACCATGTTAATAAAACAGATATATTTACTTTTTTCATATAATGTAGGTGTCTTTGCATGTAAACTTTTCAATTATTTTCCCACTCAGTATATCTTTCAAATTTCTACAGGAAACATATTTTATTGTCAGAATGATCTATAATAAAATAATAATGTGATAATGCAAGGAAAATGAGTTTAATCACTTTGTATAAGTAAGGAAGAGAAAGCATACACACTTTTACTAATACAAGTGTTGGATGTAAGTCAATATGAATAATTTTTCTGTAAGTGGGGGCTGAATGAACAAATGCAGCATTGTTACTCACTAGATACTATGTTGAAAATGAACTATACAACTTGTTCGGACGTGTGTCTGGAGGAAAAAACAGGAAGAAAATGAGGGAAGAGGAGACACTGTTCAAAAGAAATGTTCTCATTAACTTACTCATTAAACTGTAATCCCTCAGTACATAACCTTTACAATAACAGTAAATATAGGTAAATATATATTAAAAATCTGTCACCATATAAGATGATGTTAAGCAAAATGAACCCCAAGACAGGGACACAGTGGTTTTTCTTTCTTGCTATTGTTTTTTAATATACTTATAATGGACTATGTCATTTTTTTGTTTCTTTGATATGTTCCTCTCCCAATGTATAGCCTCTGTTTTCACTGAATTTGATTCTGTTGCCCTGTATTTTTTATATACATTTTATTAATTTGGGAAGGAGAAGGGAAAAAACAAAATGCTTAAATAGGGACACAGGTTGACCCATTGTAACCATGAGATTTACAAGACACTATGTTGAAAAATGAACTTTACAACTTGTGGGGCGGGGGAGGAAGGGAGGAGTTGGCCAAGTGGGGAGAGAAGGGATGGTAGTGGAAAAACAAAGGAGGAGGTAACAATGCTCAATAGGAAATGTACTCATTACCTTATTCATGTAACTGAAACCCCTCTGTACACTATTTTTACAGTAAAAATGTATTTAAAAAGATATGGATACAAGAGGTTTTTCTTTGTCTTTGTTTTTAATTTACTATGTGATTTTTTTGTTTCTTTTCTATGTTCTTCCCCCCATGGTACATCCCCTGTTGTCATTGAATTTGATTTTGGTACCCTGCATCTTGTACATGCATTTATCTAATTTGGGGGAGGGGAAGGGGAATAACAAAATTCTGAAACAAGAATATAGGCTGACCCATTGTAACAATAAGATGTACATGACACAATGTTAAAAAGGATCTTTACAACTTTGGTGGGGGGAAGGGAGGAGTTGGTGAGGTGGAGAGGGAAGGGATGGCTGGGTAAAAACAAAGGAGGGGTAACAATGTTCAAGAGGAAATGCACTCATTGCCTTAATCATGTAACTGTAACCCCTTGATAAAGTATCTTTACAATAAAAATATAATAAAATAAAATAAAAACAGCAAGAAACTATCCAATTAGCTTCTATAGACACACATCTTGAATTTTGCTTTGCGATTTGAGCCAAAGATAAAGCAAAAGGTCTATGTTACAAAATCAAGTCATATCTTAGTGTGGTGTTATTCTCTTTCAGTGTTTCTGTTCTGCATTATGGAAAAATACAAAGGGGGAAGTACTAAACTTTGATAAATATTCTAAGAGTTAATAAAGTTGTTGCAAACTATGCAGCTTTACAGGTTCTTCTGCCTGTGATATCTGCTAGCACTCTATATATCTAAGTTAGGAACCAGCTAAACCATATTTATTATATTTTTCTTCATTGAGACTTTGGCATATAAGTAAAGCTGCTTTATAGATATTTGTGGATGCAAAAATCTCAGAAATGGAATTGATGCTCTCAAAAGTGCAGTGAATGGTACTATTAAAATAAATAAATTTCCTTCCTGATGTTTTTTTTTTTAATATACCACCTAAAGATCCAAACACATGATATTTCAGATGCTATGATTTTAATTCTACATACATGGGAGAGGGACCTATTGTAAAGCAAATAATAAAATCAAGATAATGAATGCTATATTGTAGACTCAGGGAGAATTATTAGGAAATTTCAAGCCTAGGGAACAGAAATTTTCAAATCTTGCTTTCTTCCTGTTAGAATTTTCCCCTGTAAGGTGTTGGAGGGGAAATGTGTAGCTGGAAATGGAAAATGTGACATGTTACGCTATTTTTATGTCTCATGCCAACCCCTCCATTAAACTTTTTAATAAACTTTGAGTTTAAAGAGTATCCTCTTATTAGTCTCAATGCCAAATTTCAGGTTCTAAGTACTTGGGCACCAGGTGCAAAATACTGAATTGGTGAGAGTATGGTGTCACCTATAAGAAAAATAGGAGTCATGGTAGTATAGTCTTCTCCCAAGCCAAGATACTGGGTTGGCCCTGACCCAGGGAAACAGGTTATAAAAAGAGCTTTTCTTGGTGAGATCCTGCTACTGCTCTCTCTCTCCCATCCCCAGGAGCCTTCTCTTTCCCATTGCTTTTAATCCCCATCATCCTCTACTGCTTTTCCCCTCTCCTACATCCACACTCCTCTGTGTTTCTTCTTCCCCCTTCCCCTCTCTCTTCAACTTCCACTTTCTTCTTTCTACTCACTTCTCCTACTCCTCCTGTCCCATTCCTCTTCAGTATCTTACAACAGAAGTAAGACCTAAGAAATACATAAAAATGTTAATAATAGCAATCTTTTGTTAAATTATCCTTTTCCAGAATGTTCCTTAACTTTTACTCTGAATAAGCACTGTACTTTTTATACTTAGGAGAAAATGCTAGATATTTATAGCATGACACACTTTATTTGACATTTATTTAAGTTGCAATAAAAGAACATGAAAAAGTATTCAATGATATAATTACTGACAGTGAAAGGCAAAGTAGAACATATTAGAAGGAAATGTGGTTTCTTTAGTTTTCAATAATATAATACATAATAATTATCTTTTAAAAAATACTATTAGCTTAATACTTTAGAAGCAAATACCAACTTCACTCTGATAAAATTTACAGATCACAATGTTATATAAACAGATTCACAGAAATCTAACATGGTCTTCACAGACATTCTGAAACAAATATAGATTTTGAAGCAATCAAATCTCACAATGCACTATCCTAGTTAATATAGCAATGTATATCTATAGCAAATTAATAAAGGCACAGCTAGTGCAAGCAGATTTAAACTCTCAGATTTCTGGGCTGGAAAAGAAAAAAAGAAACACTTGTGTTGGAACTTCAGGAACTTTGTGTTTTTTCAAGCAAATATTTCCAACAATTCTACAATTTGTAGAGCTCCAATTTAATAGGAACAAGTCCAAAAGACTTCACAAAAAATCACTTTTTAGCACCAAACAACATGCTTTAGATAATTAACAATAATAACATTTTGAAGAATATCGCAGCACAACAGATAAAATAAACTGATACTTTAAGACATAATTTTTTTTAGAACTTTAAAAAAACTGATCTACCAGGAAAACACAACACTAGACTATAAGTAGTAATAGTGTTCTGATTATAGGGCAGGTTTTTATCCACTAAGTCTAGAAGAACTTGCTTCATGGGCTGGGAAGGTGGCTCAGTGGTAGAGCACTTGCCTTGTGTGAATGAGGCCCTGGGTTCAATTCCTCAGCACCACATATGTAAAAAGAAAAAAAGCCCTAAGTGGTGCTGTGGCACAAGTAGAGCACTAGCCTTGAGCTGAAGAGCTGAGAGACAGTGCCCAGACCCAGAGTTCAGACCCCACGACCCGACCCCCCCCCACCAAAAAAAAAAAAAGAACTTGCTTCACTTTTGCTTGCTTCAATTTTGCAAGACTCTTGAAAAATCTTTCAGTTGGCCTCTTTTATTTCCGATATTTCCTATTTCCATAATCTCTGCCATCTCCATAGTAGGAGCATTTGACTTCTCCTGTAAAATAATAAATTGACTTCAAGATGACATTGTCATGCAAAATTTGACCAATTTCAAAGTCCTCATCTAGGATAGCATCTTCTCGTGGTTCCAGCTTTCCAATCTGAGGAATCTCAGGAGGACTAAAGAAATTGAAGAATGATGCATTAGGAACCACTCTGGGCAGGAATTCAATTTCCCCAGTAGCAGTTGTGCAACTGTTGGTTATTGTTATAGTCACATCCTTTCCTTTTCTCCAATCTATCTTGCAACCTTTGCAATCTTCAATTTCCCATCCCCAAGAGAAGAAAGGATCATTGTGATCTGGTTTTGACTTTATTTTGTATGTCTTTATCAGCAGCTCATTTCTGAAGTAGGGATTGGGTAGGAAATGAAATTCAAAGGTGTAACTGATAGGCTGGCCAGGTCGTGAAAACTTCAGGCTAACATCTTGCAAGAACTTCAAAATAGGCTCATCATGCTTCTGGATCATAGGTCCAAGTTTGTCAACATTTTTCAAAACAGTCAGCCAATAGTTAGGAATGCCTTTGGGCTCTTCCTTTTCAGGTTTTCCCTCTCGAGCTCTTTTAAGATTCACTCTTTCTTTAGGTCTAGTGTCAGGAACACTTTTATGACCTTCTCTGACTGTAGCCCTGGCCTTAGATTCAATTAGTTTAGACTGTTCTTTATTTTCTCCCTTTGACTGGGAGGCTTCTTCAGGGACTCTTTCTCCTCCTCCTCCTCTTCCTCCTCCCCTTTCCTCCTCCTCCTCCTCCTCCTTCTCCTCTTCTTCCTCCTCCTTCTCTTTTTCTTCCTTTTCTTCTTTTTCTGGAGTTACGTCCATACAATCAGAGGAATGAGCTTTTATTTCAGCATTTACCTTGCCAGTTTCTTTAGTAACTTCCTGTTCATCCATAATTTCTTTAGGAACTTCCTTGTCTTCAGGTACTAAATCTAGAATTTCTTCAAGTTCCTTTTCTTCAGGTTTTGTCTCAGCAATTTCTTCAAGAAGTTCCTTTTCATCAACCTTTACCTCAGCAATTTCTTTAGGAACATCTTTTTCTTCAGCCTCTGAATGAGGAATTTCTTTTGGAACCTCTTTTTCTTCATTTTTCACCTCAGCACTACCTTTAGGGGTTTCTTCTTCCTCCCCCTCCAAGGGAGGCATTTCACTAGGGGTGTCATCCTGCACCTCCTCATCACTACTAAACTCCTCATCCTCTGAATTCCATTCACATTCTTCTTGTGTAGGCTCATATTCTGCGTTGATGATTTGAAATCGCCGATCATATAGAGGCTTATTGAGTTCAGCATACTTCCTTTCAAGATCATGAATTGCCTTTAAAAACAAAGCGTCTACCTTGTCACATTCACCTTGAATATTTCTGAGCGCTTGCACCCGATTTCTGACAGCTTTCGGCAGCCTATCCACGAAATTTGTACCTGACGGAGCCCGGCGTGCTCTTCTGGAAGGCTCAGGTATCCTCTTCTTTCTGTACAAGAGGCTGCGGCTGCTGCCACTGCCGCTGCTGCTACTGCTGCTGCAGCAGGTAGTGCTGCTGCTAATGCTACTGCTGTCAGATTCTTCCCCAGAATCACTAGTAGAGCTAGCCATCTCTTCTTCAGCAGCCCCCTGGCTGGCAGGTTCCGTGACTATTTTAAGACCGGCTTCTGCCATGCTGCAACCTGCAAACCTCCTAAGGTGATGACTATAGCAGAAACCTAGCGCCCAGAGATGGGAAGAAAATGACTCACGGATGCTTAGGCGGTGTGGCAGAGGCCGGGGCTGCAGAGGAGGTGGCGGTAGCGACAGCAGCAGCGGTAGCAGCCAAGGGTGGAGTGGTTTGTAGCTGTAGCGCTGAAGGTGGCAACAGCGGTGAAGGCCTGGGAGAGAGCCTGGGCAGCAAGGCCTCGGTCGGCTGCAGCGGATGGGGACCGAGGAGTGACGCAGTGGAATGGCGCAGTGTGAGACCCCGAGATCTCTTCTTAGTTTAGAACGCAAGGCCCCCCACCTCGCCCCTCTCAGTCAGACCTCCCCGTAATTTCGTTCCCAGTGTGCCTTTAGTTCGTTCCTCATTTGTTGGGCAACGTTGATTGACAAAGCTTATACCCAACAAATGGCTAAACACAAGTAGCGCCTGACTCCTCCCACCTTCCCAGATGCTCCGTACTGTCTGAGGCATACATCCCTGGAAGATGATTCCCCCACCCCCTTCATCATTCTATATAGTTTTATAATTCAAAGAAAAAAAAGCGTAGACTCGAGGTAAAAATACAAGCCATATTTCCTAACAGGGGAAGATGAGGAAAGTCTTCCTTTTCTTAACCGCCTATTCTGAATTCCAGTTTGATTGCTCACCGGCCTCTTGACAAAAATGTTATGAAAAAATGTGGATGAAAATGTAAATGTCGTCATTGTATAGTGTGACTATGGATGATATTTTAAAAATTATTTTCTCTAAATATGCTACGAGCATGTATTTTTACACTGGAAATAAAGGGGGAGTCGTTTATTGGCAGAAGGGGTGGGGCTAGACAGCAGGCATATTGCATTCCACGTAGCCTTTTTAAAAATAAGTGCTGTCTGTGATGTTTGGCAAGTCTGGTTTGCGAACCCATGTTGCTGTGAGTCAGTTACACCATTTTTATTATATTTCTCTTTTTCAGCTGGAATGTACTTCAAATTTGCTGCTAAATTGCCACGTAGCCCTTTTTAATGCTTATAACAATCTTTTAGCTAAAACAAAAGGGAATTCAAATGTTAGGTAGTATTATTAAAAAGTATACGGTTTGTTTTAGACTTTTGTGCAGCAGGTTTCAATTCCACGAACTGCAGGTTGGGAGGGGAAATTTGGCTAATGAAAGTGCATCATCTGTTAACTTATATGATATCATCTGCCTTTAATGTCCTTCCAATGTATTTTTTATTTATATTAAAGAATGAGTTAGAAGTACAGAAATACGTAAATGAAAACTTTTGCAAAGTGAAGTTTAAAAACAGGTATTTGTTACTTTTATTTACAGGATTCCTTTCTGCTACAGAACAACTCCCTTGGTACAACCCAAAAAACCAGTGTTTACTTTCTATTGAAAGGTAAGGAACATACTTAGTCCATTTTTCTCAATCACAAGAATTGCCCTTTGTATTTGAATGTAAATTCACAGGCAATATAGGATTTTAGAGATTTAATTAGTTATCTAGATATTTTTATAAATAAAAGTAGAAAATCCACAGAAGTGATTTGGTTTTCTAATGTAGAAAAATAACCTAACCACATTCAGTATCTAAACCTAACCATCAAGTACAAATAGTATATCAAAATATAAAAGATGATTTAGTAATAGTCTAAAATGTATTAAGATAAACTTTATACTGCTTTGATTAGAGAATATCTGTTTTATTATTTAACCAAATACTTTCAAAAGTTAGAAAGCACTTTACTAACTTTTAAATGAATTTGCATTTATTGAATATCTATAATTGTGAAAGTATATGAAAATTGTAAAGATAAAATTTCAATATACAAAATTTAGTGATAATAAAAATACACAAAGTTAAAAAGCGAATGATAAACATTGTTCCCAGTTTGGTGCATTTCCTACCAGAATGTTCCTTGTGTATTTATACACCTGCTCACTTAGATAACACTGTTTTATATTATATATAATTATATATACTTATATAATATATAATATTTTAAATTGATAATTTATAAATTCATTATCACTATTTTAATGGAAATGATCATCTTATTTTTAAACAGATATATGGTCTTTGAAAATAATTGCTTAAATTTATTTAATCATATTCCATAGTATCTCTCTCCTTACATGCATACTCTTGTCATGTCCTAAATAAAGTTTTCCATTTATAATAGATCATATACTTTAAAAAATTGGTATAAGATAAATTCCTGTGAATGAGAATGCTGGAATCATGTGATCTCTGTATTATTTTATATTTCTGATCTACATAAACTTTATTACAACTTACAAAACACAAGAGTCATTTATTCAGTCATTAAATTAATGTATGCTACCTGTCACATGCCAGGCACATTGGTAGTGGAAGAAAGAACAATGGTAAACATAATTGCTAGATGCATATCCATACATTCTAAAATTTTAATCAAAACATATCCTAAATAAAATCAAGGGAATGAGACCATAAATATTTTGTATAACCTTTTAGTTTCAGATAAAGTGACAGACATATTTCAAATAATTTTTTTTATATTTTATATTAATTTATAGTATTTTATTACATTTTCAGATTTATCTTTGTATCACTAGGAATTAATATTTCTGAGTTATCAGTGAGTTAGGTATCTAGATTTGTTCATTTGTTTCATGGTGCTAGAAATGGAACCTAGAGCCTTGCACATGCTAGGCAAGACCTATATCCATAATGTTAGACTTTTAAAAAAGTTGTTTTTATTAGTATGCTAACTCTTATAAAATCATTTATTTGGTAACATATATATATATATATATATATATATATATATGTATATATGCCTCTTCTTATCATCTTAACTGAGTTGAGATTTTTCTATTCTACTGGCTGTATTTTTCTGCAAATAACTGATGAGTTAGTTTTTTTTTGTTTGTTTTGGGGGCATGTTGTTTGGTTTCATTTCTTTTATTATTTTTTATTTTTAGCTTTTGAGGCAGGATCTTGCTATGCAGATGAGGCTGGCATCAAATTCCCTGCGAAATCCAAGTTAACTTCAACAACACAGCAATATTAAAGATGAGTTTTCGTTGCTTAAAAAAATGATTGCAGGAGGCTCATGCCTGTAATCCTAGCTGCACAGACAGGAGGCTGAAATTTTAGTATTGAAGTTTGAAGCTGGCCCAGGCAGGAATGTCCATGAGAGTCTTATCTATAATTAACCACCCCAAAGCCAGAAATAGAGATATGGCTCAAGTTGTAGAATGGTAACCTTGAGCAAAAAATCCCAGAAATAATACCCAGGTGCTGAGTTCAAGCACGAGGACTCACACACACACACACACACACACACACACACACACACACACACACACATACACACACATACGTTGACTGAAAACTCTCAGATAATACATAAAATATAAAAATATAAGGGAGTAATTGAAAGTAACCGAAGAAACAAAAGTAATCACTTCTCATAGTTGTTAAAGATTTTATAAACATGTATTTGTACTATGAGTAAAATTTCATCATGATATTTCTATATGTGTATAATATGTGTCCTGAATAATATCAAAATTCATTGTATCTATACATGAAGAGGACATAAGGAAACTCAGTGAAAGCAGACAGGAATGAGCAAGAAAGCAATAGAGGATGTTAATCTGACTGAATTGAAAATGTGCACATATGATATACCATCGTGAAATAAATTTGTGCAAAATGATGGACGGCAAGGATATGAGAAAAGGAACCCTCATATACTGTTGGTGAGAATTATTAGCGAAGCCACTATAGAAAATAGAATAAAAGTTTCTCAAAAAATAACAAATAGATCTGCCGTATGACCTGGCCATATTACTCTTGGAACATAGCTCCTGCAATCTACATAAACATAAAAGAAATACATATATATTTATATTTATTGTATCTCTGTTCATAATAGGTGAACTCTGGAATCAACTCTAGTATCCAACAACCAATGAATATATATGTGTTAGTATACATGTATAACTTTATAATATATAATTTTTCACAAAATATAACTCAGCCACAAAAATATACCTATGTTATTTACAGGGGAGTGGATAGATGTGGAAATTGTTCCGTTGAAATAAGCCAAGTTCACAGAGCCAATAACAATGCTTGAGTTCATTTTCAGAATCAAGACCTGAAACACTAAACACACACACACACACACACACACACACACACACACACACACACAATGTATATATAAACTGATTTTAACTGTGTGACTGTATGGAAGCAGATAGGAGAGAAAGAAGATGAACAGTATAATGAAGAATGAACAATATTGTTATTTATGTTTTAATGTACTATCTCCCAAATAATTTCTCAATATGATGGTTTTAAATTTCTTAGATTAGCAGAAAGTCTGACTTTTTATATGTTTATTTTCTGTTTGAAAACTTTCTATTTATAACTTAGTAGCCTGATGAGTTAAGGAAAAAATTCATCACAAGTGAGATCCAAAAGGTAGTGACTTTGGTTTTAAGGCAGTGAGGACTTGATTCACAGATAATACTCCTATTCAAGACCGGGTGCAATGGTTCAAGTTTGTAATCCTTGGGAAGCAGAGATTGTAGGATATTGAGACTAGCACAGACATAAAAGTTCATGAGGCTCCATATTGAAATGTAGTATGCACCTGTCACCCCCAGTGATTTTGGGAAGAATAAAACATGACCTAGGCTAGCCATGGCATAAAGTGAGACTCTGAAGCTTAATCAGTGAAAAACGGTTGGAGGCTCAAGTGATAGTGCATCTGAGAGTTCAATCCTAATTACAATCATAATAGATAGAGAGGAGAGAGAAAAGAGGAAGGTAGAGGGGTGGAAGGGATGGGAAAGGGAGAAGAGACAGAGCCACAGACAGAGAGAAAGAAAGAACTTCTACTCTGACTCCTTTACCGTTTTCATTCTAAAGTTATTTCTTGGATTTTTAAATCATTTTCAAGAATTAATTTTTAATCACACACT